AAAACGAACAATCTAGCAAGTTTCTACCGTACTGCACTATTAAACAATCAGATAAGCAAATAAAAACTGTACAAACCTCAAAGTGATCTCGAAACAACTTGAAAACAAGAGAATCGATTAAGCAAATAAAAACTGTACAAACCTCAAAGTGATCTCAAAACAACTTGAAAACAAGAGCAAAATAAGCAATTAAAAACTGCACAAACCTCAAAGTGATCTCGAAACAACTTGAAAACAAGAGCCAAGTGTTCCTGTGAGCGTAATTCAACAAATCTGAATGGAAGAAAATGAGCCTGGGTAAGAAAAGCACGCTCATGAGCGTAATTCAACAGATCTGAACGAAAGAAAATAAGCTTGGATAAGAACAGCACGCTCACCATTACGCTGCACACGAAAGAGCCAAATGTGAGCAGTCAGGTTGTGATTAAAACAAGTAGGGTACGGATGAAGCAGATAAACAAACAAAGTCAAACGTTAGAATCGATGTGTAAATATACAAAGGGAGTGGAATGCTAAATGATTATGTGCGTGTGAGGTGGATGGTGTTGAGTGAATGGAACGTGAATTCACGAAATGTGGAACCGAAATGGAATTACTGAGCTTTACAGGAAAGATTTCCACAGATCGATCAGCACACTCCTTTTTGCAGATACGAACCCGAAAATAGAGGCTATCCCGGACGAAGAAATCGGCTGTAATCAAACGGTTGATAAGAATTCGAGGCTCCGGAAGAAGGTTGGTCTACCGCCGGAGCAATAATCTGGACCCTCAGTTGGCGAAAGCCTTTACCGTCCTGTGCAACCCGACCTGATCTGACCTGACTTTTCTAGTTCAGCTCTTCTATGTCCCTTCCTAATGTTGCTGTCCCATTTGATCCTACAACCTTGAAGTCCTCGGAAAATATAAAGCTAGGCGAGCCGAGGGGCTCAGGAAGATCAATAATATAGAACCAGAATAGGAGTGGACCTAGGCTTAACCCTTGTAGCACGCCAATGGCAACAGATTCCACTGGAAGGTTCGCTTCTTTGACTCGAACCTGGAAGGTCTGATCGGTTGGGAAAGCTTTTAACCACTTGTGGATGTTACCCCTTATCCCTAGAGCATGTATCTTGATCAAAAGTAAGCGATGCCACACTGAGTCAAATGCTTTGCTAATGTCCAGATAGCATACTTCCACTTCCTTACCCTCGTCTAATCTCGCTGTGACTTCATCTAAGAAGTGCAACAGATTTCTGAGACAGGATTCTCCCTTCAGAAACCCATGCTGTGCCGCAATCAGCAAACTGTGCTGAGTGAGGTATTCGCATGAGTGGGTTCTGAGGATCCGCTCTGGTGAGACATACTGTACGATAATTCTCCACTTTTTTTCTCGGTCCTCGATTGTGTATAGCGACCACAGAGGCAGCTTTTCAGTTGTTTGGTGTCCTGACCAACTGTATATCTGTATGTGTGTTGTATATATGGCAAAGTGGGCCACTTAAAACGTACATTGTGTTTAACTAAGGCTAGGTGAATGAAATCTAGTCCGGCGGAGTTGGTGTCGTTAAGCTGACGTACCTGTTTCAACCGATTTGGCAGATTCCACATACTTGATTCGGCAGTGAAAGTGGTTTGTAGCGCAGCCAATCGTTTTTTGGCATCAATAATCTGACACAGCGTCATTCGGCGAAAATTTCTACTAAAAGCGTAAATATTATTGGACCTCAAACGCTTGCAAAATGAAACGGGATAACTGTTGCATGCCCTATATTGCACGAAAAAACCGGTACGGACTGGAAGCGCTGCAATCTTACATATAATTACTCATAAGTAGTATATTAAACAGTAGCATATTTTAAAAAAGATGATTTTCTTAATAGTAAAATATAAAAATCATAAATTAAAAAGCAGCACCAATAAATTATAAAGATATAGAAAAAATTATGGAAGATTCCCATAGAAATGTCAGAAGCCAAACAATATAGCGAATAGGCCCACCGCACTGATACCGGGCATCAACCAGACAACGGTGCATTCAAAGTCGTTTACAAAATACCTCAAAACAAACCGAAGCACGCTCGAAAACGTCACTTGGCAACGGCAGAAGCTGTAGCAACCAGGATCATGAATCCACCACTGTGCAAACAGAAGAAGTTGGTTGCCGCACTCCAGTTGCCTTGGCCCCAACCAAACCTGCATGCTGACCCGAACCATGACCTCAGTCATGTGGTGATGGCGTGACATGGCGTGACTAATTGCACGTAAAGAAGGTCGCCGAAAATTCCAGAATTGACCTTGCTCCCCCTCTTCGCCCACTGTCCCCACTTTATCCACTCGCTGTGATTAAACTCTTATAGACATTGTTTTATTTTCACACTTAACCTCAATGGACCAGTCAACTATACTTCTACATTAGATATAAACACATACGCATAACTATAAATTTATAGTCTTCAGGCTTTAAGACATGATTATGAAGTTTCGAAAATAAGCTTGCTCGCTCCGGGGTCCTTCAAGGAGCTGTGCTATCCCCATCCTTATTTACCACTTATATTTGTGATATTCCCTGTGTTTCTCCCGCACGAATTTTGAAATATGCAGATGATGTCGTGTTGTGCCAACCCATTTCTTCTTACTCTGATCTAAGCTCTTTCACCGATAATCTTGATCAAATTCAGTCATTCTCCTCCTCGTCGGGGCTAACCCTGAACCCCAGTAAATGTGTTGAGTGTTTATATAGTTTTGCTCGCTCTCCATATCCGACAGGCCTCGCAGTGATTAATAGCAATCTTTTATCCAGGGTGAATTCTGTCAAATATCTTGGTGTAACCATAGACAGTGATCTTCATTGGTCAACCCACATCCACAACTGCATTGGTAAACTGCGACGCCTTTCATTTCAAATACGAAAGCTGAGGCAGTCTCGGGCATCCCAGTCGGTTATTTCTACTTTTGTTTATCAATGTGTTTTCCTCATCTTACTCTACTGTTCCCCGGTCATATTTCCTGATTTACTCAAACAGGACTTCAAAGTCTTACGACGCGGTTTACCATTATTAATCGTGTCTCTTCCATTCCTGAGAATGAATTAGCTGTAAAGCTTTCCGAGTATCACGTAACTTCCTGTGTGGAATTTGCCGAGAGGATCCTCACAGATCCGGACCACCCATTGTATACAGAACTAACACTTTGTCATTCCCATCATTCAACACTCTCCCAATTTCGTCAAATTTCATCTCTAATAATGCATACCGCAATTCACCCATACCG